TAAGCGTGGTCTCCTTGTAACTCTAGTTTTCAGACTAGGGAACAAACTCGCTTGGAGATAGATCTGGTGAGTAAGGCGGACGGTCAAGGAGTTCAAACCGTAATTTGCGGATTTTGGCCATAGCAACCGTTGAGGTATAAGTGGTCTAGGTGAAATATGATTTTTTGTGCAAATGTTTTCCCTCAATTTCTGATGCGTAGTATGCTTCCGTGTTTTTTTTTCCTTTTTGAGGGTAATCGATTAAGTTGATTCTATGGCTATCCCAAAAAAAAAAAGTTTTTGGGAACCCCCGTCGCAATCCCGAGCGTTCATCATCTCTTAAGTTCTTACGGAAATGTTTAAATTCAGCTGCCCAAAATTTCATTGTAGTAAATGACGGTGCAGAGTACCCATACGCAGAGTGGAATACAACTCTAATTTTCGCAGGCGTGTTATCAACAAATATTTTATAATAGCTCTATACTCCATTTTTTCCATTTTCACGAACACACGAAGATCACTAGCTTTTAGTAACTAACGACTTTAGGGTGAATTTTTCAAGTGACCCCCATATATCGATTAATCGATATATGCTTTTGTTCCCTCTATCTATGCACTTAGCCAGAGTGATATATACTATTGGATACGTCACAAATAGAAACCATTTTCAATCATTTTGTAACTAGTTGGTTACTTGAAATGTGAAATAAAATTTTTGGCTGATCCTCAGAGTTTCACAACAATTTATGAAAATAATTATAATTAGAATTAAAATAATTGCCTACTACAAAACTGCAAAAAAATGCAAGAAACGTAATTTGCTTAAAATTATTTTTTCCACTAAAGATAATAAAAGTATTCATTGCTAGCCAGCTCCATATTATTTATTTTTGCGAAATTGTGGTCCTCGTTACCCGGCTCTCCGCCAGTGAACTAATTGAAAAGTTTAAAATAGACACACAGTATAGTACTGAAACCTCGTATTATGTGTACCAAATTTCACTGGTAAATCAACTGGCACATTTAAAAAAATTATAATACATTTTTGCATTTTTCTTGGGATTATTTAAATTTTTAAATGAGCACGTTGTTAATATCAAAAACATCAGGAAAAATGATTCCTTACATTTTGGAGTAACTTCTCTAAAACTGCTAACTAGAGGGTGGGAAGATAGCAGCATTCTCATTAGATCGTTTTAGAGGCGAGACATTTTCTGAGTGTTCAATTCTTTGAGTCTTCTTTATTTTGAACTTCTTCGGCTTCCTGCGACTGTCCAATTACCACAATGCAGTTTTTAAATATCTCTACAGTATGCACTAAAAGTTTCTAAATATAATTTTTTTGTTTCTTCTGAATATTGCTTAAAATTTTCCAAATTAACTCGATCCAGATGCCATTGCCACAGAAAATGAACACCAAATTTAATTATTAAACTTTCATTCAAAGCTGTTATATCTCCACTGGGCAGTATTGCCATCATTAGGGCTTCGACAACCTGACTTAGGCACTTTTACTTTCATTTTTCTTTGGATCTCCTGTTTTCTTTTTTCTTTGCTTCATTCTGTGAAGTGTCGAACTCTCATCTTTTATATGCCATGATTGTGCTGTTAAGTTTTATGTGATGTTCAAAAGAAAGAATCCTTTAATTGCATGAAAATTGATGAAATGAAACTATAGGAAGTATAGGGAAAAACATTATGCAATTAAACAAAAAACATACATTTTCTTATTTTATGTTTTATTTGGTAAGTTTTGTCTTTGCATTTTTTTTTTCATAAGACCGTTTCCAAATAAAAACAAAGAAATCTAAGGCAATGCATAGCGAGATAAAATAAATCTAATGGGTTGCTGGCACTTCTTAAGGCGTCCGTCGTCATTCTAAATTTATTTCGTTTAAAATGTTGGAAATCACCACCATTCATCTGCACGCATACACAAAAACGTTTGTGTAGGTTTTCGGTACACCTATTAAGAAGTTCTGGTTGCCCATTTAGGGCTCCAACTTCTCGTATGCTGTTTTGCATCTCCAAAATGGTTGCCGGCTTTCTTCTATATACTCTCGATTTCAGGAATCCCCATAAAACGGTGCCAACGGGAGTAAAATCTGTACTGTTAGGAGGCCAGAGTATTACAGAATTATTTCCTATTGAGACATTGTATTTATTTTGTAAATTGTCTTTTACGTCTCATTGTGATATGATGCCTCGTCCTGTTGCCATACTATATTTGGAACAGCTACAGGTAACTCTTCGATGTATTCTTCTACTCGAAGGAAATCGAAATATCGATCGCCTGTCATATAGAAGTCTAGAATAAATAATTAGCGACCAAATTTTTTAATTGGCAAAAATTCGTGGTGATTTTCGCTTTTCCAGAAATGTGTGTTTTTTAAATTAGTGGGTGAAACCGAATTAAATGACAACACACCTGTAAACAGTGTGCTGTGAATAAAATTAGGTGATTCTTGAATTCGATCTAACATAATGCGGTAAAACTCAAGACGTCTCTATTTGTCTTTATCTGTAAGACGTTCAACTATTGTCAACTCATAAGCGTGCATTTTATGTGTCTTTAAAATCCGCTGGATTTTAATTTTACGTAAATGCGTGTCACGCTTGCAATCTCGATGGAGGAATATTTTGAAACTTAGTTTCTGCAATTCAAATTAACACATTTTAATTTCAGTGTTAACACTATTGTATTCTGACATTGAAAATATAACAAGACATCAAGAACTTGGTTAACATTACAAGGCACTCGCATTTTTTTTCTTTTGATTAATCCGCACATTTTTCAACCCACTATAAATTTTATAAAATGTTTTTACTTGGCCGTAGCCTGATTTAGATTACATTTTAAAAATACCCACAAAATATCTAATTTTTCCGCTTGTGTACATATTTTAATATATAATAACAGTTAACTACGCCAGTTTCAATGACTAATTTGATATTTGAAATAATAGTTAATGACTTCGTTACATCCAATATTTAAAAAAATGCGAGATATTTAAAAAATAACTAAACTAACTAAAAATAAACCTAACAATTCAAACATATTTGAAATTAGGAGAAAAAATGCAATCGATTTACATATTCAAAAAAAAGGTTTTTTAAAAAAATATCGTCCTGTCTAAATTTGACTGATAAAATTGTTATTTTATATTTTTGATTGCCGAACCGGTTTAGGAAAAATCCTTTGGTCATTTAAACATTCTAGGATAAATATTTTATTTATAATGGGACATTCATTAGACATCACCGGCGAAAGCGTTAATTGACTATTTTACGCCAAAATATCATACTTGTTTCTGATTTCGAGTAGAACCGGCAACATAGCAAAAATGTACATCAGGGCCGATTATGGCCATGTACCAACTTTCACGACATTGCCTATTTTGTTCCTCATAAAACATCTAATGGGCGGAACCCGTGGGAAACCCTGTATATTTATTTTTCTACATAACATTTGACTGAATTAAAAAAAAAACATCATATATAATTCGGGCATAGGATGGCTCTTGGTTTGGTTTATTTGCCCTCTGTGCTTCGATTTGGTATAATACGACCAAAAATATAGTGCATTTATTGCTTTTACGTTTTAAGTATTTTACATTACAGATGTTTATTCTGCATTATCTGCATTACTTGAGATGGACCGTAACGAATATTTGTAAAAACTTGAAATATGTATTTGTAAATGGTCCGTTTTAAAATTGGTTAAGCATTGATGCTGCGGGGTATTTTCAAATAAGCAGATGCGTTTATTTTAACATCAGGTGATACGTATCGTTTTAAGGAGTTTAATCTAAATTGCAATATGTTCGTATATATTACGGAAGTATTTGACTGTAAATCTTCCAGTAAGTAAGCATTTGTGTACCTGATTCTTGAGCTTCGACCATGCAAGGTTATTTTCATTGGATAGTTCAAAGGATATGGCTGTTAAAAAATAATCTTTTTGGTCTCATGCGTTTATCGATGAAAAACATTCTTCTTCTTGTATTTTTGTGTCTTCTACATAGTTCTTCGATTTGTAAACAACAGTCTTATTTAAGACCATAGATTATATTCGCGGTAAATAAAGGTAAGTCGTAAGAATAGAGATAAATATTTATTGGAATCTTACAATATAACTTTTTTTAATACTGTTTAATAATGGGACAGTCAAGATGAAAGTGAGGGAAGATGCTGATACTTCGCGTGTTTTTGAAGAGCAACACGCAGATCTAATTGGGCTTATAAACTGAATAGCGTTTTAACCCTAGAAGTACTAACAGACATAAACATTAGTTGTGCCGAGATTCGTTGTGTACTTTTTTGAAGAAAATGGATTTTCATTTCGGAGTTGATCAATGAACTAGATGACGACTGTAGCGATAGTGACTATTTTTTAAGTGACTGATACTTTATTATTATTGTATTTAATATTTTGAATATTAATAACGATACTATATAGAAATGTTATGAAATAGAACGTAATAAATTGTTACTTTGTACAATTTTGTTAGTGTAGGTAGATAAATTCCTAGGACGGTTCTGGAATGGTTACGGGTAAGGGTTAATCACGGTGTCGCTTGTAAAAGCACTATATTTCTGGTCGAAGTATAAGCGTTATTGCTCGTTTCCGTTGCAAATTGTTTGCTAATTCGCAAACAGATCCTCTCTCATAGTAATTTGCGCAAGCACGGCGTACTTTCCTTTGTCAATTCGCCGCTATCCGCGTATAATCAGCCATACTATCCCGGTGCGGAAAAAAATCGATGGGAGGGAGACACGATCCCACTTTCAGGCGTTGGTACCGCCTGAATTCGACGACGTTCCGATATTTCCGTCTTGTTCTCTCGCTAATCCGTACGTGCGCAGCGGCAACCCGGGCCGCGTTCACCACCACGGACCGAAGATTTTAATATCACTTGGTTTTACAATCTCGCGCGAGACATTTGTATATAAAACTTGTAAATTGTGTACGGTTTCGGTCGCCGTGTTTGTATATAAACGGATCCGACGCCCCGTAAATATACAATATTTGTGTATATATACGCACTTTACATCGGCGCGTATCAAATGTTTGTCGATTAAATTGTTTATAGTTTATATACGGGCGAGTTCTCTCTCGGGTAAATGTTTAAAATATGATGAAGGAACAGCAGTTGGTCGAAACTGGCGCAGTAGTCAGCCAGTCCTCTCCCGGGTTCAGCATTCAGCAGCAACTCAATCAGCTCCAGCCTCACCACCAAGGCGTCATCTTACCCAACGACGGGTCGCCACCGAGCGTCGCTCCCAATGTATCCCCGGACAACGGAGCCGCCGACGCCGACAATAAGCCCTCATCGTCCGACAAAAAGAGCGGGATACGACGCCAAGAGAAACCGCCGTACTCCTACATAGCTCTGATAGTCATGGCGATCCAGCATTCGCCGACCAAGAGGCTCACTCTGAGCGAGATCTACTCGTTTCTTCAGCAGAGGTTCCCGTTCTTCCGGGGCTCCTACCAAGGCTGGAAGAACTCCGTCAGACATAATTTATCCCTGAACGAGTGTTTCATCAAGCTGCCCAAAGGGTTGGGCAGGCCCGGGAAAGGCCATTACTGGACTATCGATCCTGCGAGTGAATTTATGTTCGAGGAAGGGTCGTTCAGGAGACGACCGAGGGGATTCAGGCGGAAATGTCAGGCTATCAAACGCGAGTATCATCCGGGCACGTTTTTCGCCAACAACATGCCGTCGATGGTGAACCAGACGGGTTACGATCACCAACCGCTGGTACAAACTCAAGATTATTCGACGTGTTCGTATAACACGCCCTCGCCGCAAGTAAGTTCGGTATCCGGCTCGTACGCGAATTACGATTACCCCTCGATGTACCAGCAACAGTGCGAGAGAGATTGGAGCTCGAATTCAAGCCTGCTGCCGTCTTATCCGGACGGTACAATTTCTAGTAGTTATCTGAAAGCGCCGCTTAGCCCGATGCCGGGGAGTCAAGATACTCCTCCGCCTCCAGTGGATAATTACTACCAGTACGGGGTTATTTCTACGTCGTCGGAAAATCGTAAGTATTATATACTCTTTTGTTTTGATAGACTCGAAGTCACTACACGTTTCTAGGTAAAGTTGTATAAACATCTATGGTCTATTTTAGCAAGATATAGAGTAATAACCCCTCATTATACCCAAAGTGACCCAACGGATACCTAATCCACATTCATTGTTTGGCGTTGGCTTCGTTGCAAAATTCTTTTTAACTATTCACCAATACTGAAATTAGTGTATCAATGGCGTGCATTGTATTAAAACTAACTTAGTTTTTTATTAAACATTATACAGCAGCTTTCTGGTGTCATTTAATCAATGGCTGGATCAAACACTAGCCTATGCGCCCATATAGGTAACGAAAACTAACCTGTAGATAACTTCTTTTTTTTGTCCAAGATAATGTTGGAGCCTATATGTATGCGTGGCCACTAAATCTGGCGGCATTTCACCAAAATGGTCTTCAGAAACATCCGAAATAGAATTTATTACTTTACTTTTATTTTCACTAAACCTATTAATTATGACTAGAAAAGTGTTATGGAGAAAAACCAAGAAATTAAACAAAAGTAAATACAAATGCAATCTTCAAAAATACAATAAAGCCGCACTTAAAATCGCCACTGCCAAGTTGTTAACACACTAAGAAATTAATTAAACCCCATCTCCAAAACTGCAATAAAATATGACTAAAAGAACTGAAAATTTAACCAAAACTCATTTCAAACTCTTTCTTTAAATGTCATCAAAAGTTACTAAGAAACTAATCGATACTTAGTTGGGAATCTAACCAAACTCACCTATAAAATGTTTTTTGAAAACTTGCGTTTCTAGACTACTTATTATTATTATAGACCCATAGTTGCTGTTTTTTATTCCACCGCTAAGGCATAAGTATTTTTTTTGCATGCTACGAATTTGTTAAATCAGAGCGCTTCATTTTAGATAACTTCAATGTTTGGAAAAATGAAAACTCCAAAGCCATTGTATGCCTAAGTGCGTCTTAAAACTGTATTAGGAAAATAAAGCCCATCATCCAATATTACTTACTTAGATAACAAAATCATGTCTCGCTGGTTTTTCTTATTTTTCTATTTTCTCAAATTATTTTTTATTTCTAAGTTCTGTTGTAAGTTGATTTTTAGTAGGTTTGCTTATATCTTCTTGATTTGATTTGAACTTGAAAAACTAACCAACAATTTTATTGTTTATTGGATTGCTAAAAATTTTAGGTTTATATTTGCTCTGATAAAGTCACACATTTGTCGTTGCTACGCTAAGTGTTTCAATATTAATATATAAACATTTTCTAGTTCTAATAAAATAAAAAGTTTTATTCCATAAAGATCCAAACCATTTTGTATGTTTTTATGGAAATTATGCTCTTTGCGGAAATAATTTTAACTTAAAAAATCCTTGCAGCAATTTCTTTGGTTTTCTTCGTTTGGGTCTAAAAAATGCCTTTTATCATAATTTTATTATCAATGAGTTATTATTATTATATTTTAATTACTATTAATAGAACTAAATATTTTTGAAAAACCCCTCCCATTCAATTTGATGCAAATTTGATTGTCTTAGAGACAAAAAGATCAATTTTTACGGTTCCATTTAGAATTGTCCGTTTTTTCTATTACAAATCAGTATTTATTCCGATAAAAATAGGTCTTGTCCTCTGCTCAAGGACTTTGGTCTAAATCCAAATATAAGGTAAGGTTAAAATGAGTTACTCGATATTGTTTATGTTTCTGCTGGTTGCTCTGCGAAGATACTACAATAGGTGAAAATTATAAAGTCTATTGCTTCGAATTAGTGACAGGAAACAGGATTTTAATAAGTCAATCAAATTAACAGTATCTCAACAGGTTGACGTCGGTACATCAAAAATGAGTGCAAAAGTTCAACTTTCTGCTAGAAAAAAAATAATTGAAGCATGTTCTATACTAAAAAACACTGAATATAAACGCTTCTTACTCTTCACTGCATTGAAGTATTGTTTGGAGTTTAATATATGAAGCGTCCATTAGCCTTAACTTCAAATAAAAAAAAGATGATTGCACTTTATCAAAAACAATAATTTTGTGTTTATATGTATGTATCTTAGGCATCATCAGCAATCAGTTAGATATTATCCATAGTTACCATCGTTCAATGGATAAAATTGATCTCTTGTAAAAAATAAAAACGGGGGAGCTTTTATTCAGATATTGACATTTTTTAAAGCAAATGATGTCCTCTAACAACTAGCCCACCCTATATAATTTTTGATCGTTGCGCTTACAACAAAGCACTTATGACTGGCTAGCTGGCAGCTCGCAGGTATGGTCTGTTCATAGATATAAGAAACTGACCAATTGTTTTTGAATGGGATTATCCAAGGGTGGTCATTAACATACAATGCAACAAGATTATTACCTAAAGTTTCGGAATTTAAATTCAGGTAAAATTGTAGTCCGTAATAGAAAATATTTTTATACATACCTGTGTTTAATGTTCTTTGGTTTGGTATACTACTTAGTTTAAGTTTATTAGTAATCAGTCTTATTTCGTGTGTAATACAGCGTGTGTTGAATCGTGTGCGAATTATGCAAAATATGTGCGAGTCTAGTGTATCTCAAGAGATGCTCCCGCCCAAATGTAGAAAACACTATTCTATAGGGACTAAGGAAGTTATAAACAATGTTTATTTGACTCTCATTGAACGTGGTGCCAGGAAGCAAGCATCTTTAGAAGAAACGGCCACATTGACGAAAATTCCAACATCAACTGTATGGAAAATTGTGAACAATCCCATTTCAGCGAGGAAAGAAAGAAGCGATGCTGACATTTTTTCGAGTGTAGATGAAAGTGCTCAATATATAATACGGCGTAAAATTTACCAGTTATACGAGGAACAAAGCGTGCCTAGATTAGATATCTTAATTAGGAGGCTTGAAAAAGATGTATCCGGTGTTAAATGTGGCAGAACTACCTTATGGAACTGTATTCAACCCATGGGTTTTAGATTTCAAAAAATTGACAAAAGACAAGTTTTAATGGAATCTTTTAGAATTCGGAAATGGCGACTGGAATATCTAGAAAAAATTAGGATTTACAGAGAACAACAAAGGGAAATTATTTACTTGGATGAAACCTGGATCGACACTTATGATACACTGGAAAAGGGTTGGGTTGAATCAACTGATAAGTGTAAAACAAACGCGACATCAGAAAGAGGTAAAAGAATAAATATTTTGCATGCTGTCTCTAAAGATGGTTGGATTCCAAATGGACTTTCTCTGTCTGCGAAAAATATTAAAGATTCGTCTCTGGATTACCATGAAGACACCACCGCTGATTTATTTGAAAGTTGGTTTAAAAAAGAACTAGTTCCAAACATTCCTCCTAATAGCGTCTTTGTAATGGACGATGCAAGTTATCACAGTAGACAGTTGACTAAAACCCCTTCCTCGTGTGACACAAAAGCAACAATCCAAAAGTACATGTTTAATAACGACATTTATTTTCACGAAGATTATACCAAAAAGCAATTAATTGAGGTTCTACAAAGCTTGAACCTACAAAAGGAATATGTCTGTGATAATTATGCAAAAAATCGAAGGCATACAGTTTTAAGGCTTCCACCTTACCACTGTATATTTAATCCCATTGAACATGTTTGGCACCAAATGAAATCTGCCATTCGCGATAACAATGTTTTTCCCCGTGTTAACTCCAATGTCCTCAAACTTATAGAAACCGAAGTTTTTAATATTCCTCCACAAAGTTGGGCAAATTCTGTCAAACATATTGAAAAGGCAGAACAATCGCAAATAATATAGAACAAATAATAATTAGAACAGGCGATGATAGCGATAGTGATACTGATATATTATGTGAATAATTTTAATTAATTTAAGTAGGTAATAAAAATAATTTTTAATTTTATTTTAGATGTAAACATAAATACATACCTAAATAAATAAATATTGTTTAGTATCTTTCCTAACCAAACCCCAAATAATTAAATTTTAAGTAAAGTACGGACCTGTTCGGTCATATTTCATTCTTACAGCTTGCCCGGGTCTTTCCTTAATTCGTATCAGTTAGTCACTTTCTTATATCTATGAACAGACTTTACCTCAATCCTTCTGCCAAATGTGAGTAATAAAAGACGTCGGAAATAAACCGGTAATAAAATGTAAAAAAATAACGCAACAAACCAATAGGGCCCTACCCAGTTTCGAATTGCGTAAATATAAGACGATTTTCATGGGATCGTAACTTTCGGACTATTTCCTCGGCCACCCACAATGTAACGCATTACCATGTTAAAATGTCTTGTCATGTGTCATGTTAGGTCGACCTTATCGGATTACCTTGTCAACATACTTGATTGCAGTAAGCGCCGGTTAAGAAAACAAAAAGCGAACGTTAGGAAAAAAAAAGATCCGCGCTGCTTCTGTACATGATGGAGACCTGGATATATCGGAAAATATTCCGCCGTGCCGGCAAACTACACTGTTTGCTGTTATTTCCGATTCGAAAGCGATACCCACCTTTTTAACCTGCAATTCATTTAATTTTTATACGGAAAATACCTGTACAATATAAATAACTATTAACAATTAAAGCATTTTTTACTACAAATTAGATAACAAAGACCAAAAATTTTTGAAAGTTGATTTCTACCTGACATTTGATTCTGTATAATTTAGGCTTCCTAAATTTAAATCTGATAAGTATTTTCCTGGATCACATAAGGTTTTTTTTATCAACATTCTCTTCTCAGATTTCCATCTTCTATCGAAGGTTGAAACTGAATATAAACGCTTCTTACTCTTCACTTGTTTGGAGTTTAATATTTGAAGCATCCATTAGCCTTAACTTCAAACAAAAAAAAGATCATTGCACTTTATCAAAACAATAATTTTGTGTTTATAGGTATGTATCTTAGGTATCATCAGCAATCAGTTAGATATTATCCATAGTTACCATCGTTCAATGGATAAAATTGATCTCTTGTAAAAAAATAAAATCGGGGGAGCTTTTATTCAGATATTGACATTTTTTAAAGGAAATGATGTCCTCTAACAACTAGCCCACGCTATATAGTTTTTGATCGTTGCGTTTACAACAAAACACTTATGACTGGCTAGCTGGCAGCTTCCAGGTACCTCAATCCTTCTTCTAAATGTGAGCAATGAAAGACGCCAGAAATAAACCGTCAATAAAATGTAAGAAAATAACGCATCAAGGCAATGCAGACCTTGTTGACAACCGTTCTAAATAGAATATTTTTCGCCTTCCGACACTTTGTCTACTTCGGATCTTCCCCTTGGTCCCCTTAACGTTTGAGATCTTTTCAGTCCACGATATTTTCAAAATCCTTTTGTAACACGAGAGATCATATAAATTAGTAGCACCGAAGCATTCTCACACGCAGTATCAAACTCAAGTCCCTGTTAGTAACGAACTGTTTAAGCCTGACAAACGCTGGTAGTGCAGTTTCAATTCGTGCTTTTATTTCTTTGGTTTGATCCATGTTTGTAGTTCTCTATGTTCCTAAGTACTTGTACGATTCCACTCTTTCGATGTTCATGTTTTTTTACCACTAAATGGATATTTATTAACGACCATATGTTAAAGTTGATCATTAGACCGTATTCATTGCAGCATGTATTTATTCAATTGATTAGGTTCTGCAAGTCGTCGATGCCATCTGTTGTAATAACTGTACTCTGTAGGAATTGTGCCATTTATGAGCAATTGGTCAATGCATTTTAGAATATGGCTTCACTGTGAACATATTTTAATATCTTCGGTATATTGGTCTTCCACCCAGACCTTAGCTGTTTGAATCAAACACATTTTATCAACATTAAAAAAAAAACATTAAAAGAGTTGATAAATGCAAATCTCGGTTGATTTAACAATTATTTTGATTAATACACGAACAAAAACCGAACCTAAAAAATTCTAAATTAAATAACAAAGTCTCAAACAATAGTTATGTACATTTATTTTTGGAAAATATGTCCCTCTTGGCCAAAAAACTTCGTTTTTTGGATATCCTTGTATATCCCACCACCGGATTGTTCCTTTTTAATGACTAGCCAGTAATCTACCATCATTTCAATCCATTTCCATTCCATCGACCTTGATAATTGCGTTCCATAAGAACCTTTTTCGCGGATGAATAAATCTAGTTTGAAGAACATTTTTTGATCCGGGAGTTAAATTAACCCTTTTTGGCCAGTTCTTTTTCACCCAATGTTGCTGTTTCTACTGTCCCAATCACACAAAAAACAAGGGTATATCCTGACTGCTGACCTAGGGGAAGTCCCACAATTTTCAAGTCATCACTATGCTTCTTGTAATTGATATTCTCAAGGAGCAGTTCCAGATTCTTTCATTTGTACAGAGTGAGCCGCAGATACATATCATAATATCATAAATACCAAATAAAATTTTTGTTGGCCTGTGTAATCGATCAAACCAAAATATTGTGTTTCGTCAATCCTACCATAATTTGATAAAAAAGCGGTACCGTGTAAAACAAAGGAAATATAAAAAAAATGCTCTGCATCTGGACAGTTATAAATTTTGATCGAAGGTATTTGCGCTTTTCCATTTTTCGAAATGCTTTTTTCTTAGCGATTGTTAACTGTTGTTATCAACAACTTGTTGTTTTGTACTTTTTAAAATAATTTTTTCTACGCCCCACTCTAAAATTATTGTGCACAGATTAGGCATAGCAAAGTGTCACTTTAATAATTTAGATTCACTAGTTATGGGTACTACACTATTATGCCACACCGTATATTTTGGTAGATGGTTTTAAATATAGAACGTGATATATCTATTTACTTTATATTTTTCTATATTTGCAATTATGCAATTATGTTGGAAGCCAATTTGATAATTTCCGGTACTTTAGTCAGAGGTGGGGAGCAATCGCATTTTTTCAGTAGATTTTCCCAAATGTAATTCTAGCGGTAATTGTGGCGACGTCAAAAAACACGTTGAGAAAGTTTTTCGTAATTTTTTGGGCCTAGTAAAATCTGCGATTATTTTGATTTTTTACATGATGCTCAAAAGGTAAATCCCAACCGAAAATGACATCCAGGTTTTTTTGTTGTTCTTTATTCAATTTACATTATTCTTTTTATTTTTATCAATTATTAGAATTTTAAATCTTACATTTACATTTAGTAATTTTTCTTCTAGATTCTTGAACATGAATGATTGTAAATTTGTTATTATCAGTTTGGTTATTTTTGCTACCGTTTAGGATTTTTTTTTAAAAAAATTAACAATTTGGTCAACGACATTTGCTTATTGATAGAATACGAATACAACGCCAAATATAAAAGTAGTAGTATTTGTAACGAGTTTTCGTTACGGGCACCAATTTTCAGAGACAGTTTTGGTTAGTTTTACCAGATCGCCCATTAATAAAGGAGGCCGGTCATATCTCAGGAATCGTTAGTCCTACAAAAAAAATTATAGGGCCAAGAGAAAAAGCTGGAAATTATTTTCAAGTTCATAAAATGACCGATATCAAAATTAGTTTTAACGTAATATACTCTAGATAAGGAAACTTTTTTGTTTAAACTACTTTTTTCTATCCCGTCAAATTAAGGGGGGTGGGGAGGAAGGGTAAAATATTTTTATGATTGTCTCGAAAATTTCAAATATAATGGTATAAATATTTTTAGCTAGGATGAAAGAGCGTAAAAAAAACACAGAAAGTAGTGGAAACGGCATATTAATACCCTTTTTTGCCTTTGAGATATAAATGAAAATGTGTTTATTAAACATATTTTTCAACGATGGCGTAGTAATAGTACCAGACGTGACGTGGGATGTTTATATTTTCTACTGGAGTTCTATTTGATTTTGTCCTAATTTATCCATAATAATCGCCAATAATCAATAATAGTTAAAAAATAAATCGTCAGTATAATTTATTAATATATTTCATGTATTGTCAATATTGGAGCAAAGTGTAAAATAACTAAGTAAGCAGTTAGCCTCCCAGACATCAATTTATTGAGGTATTTTTTGAATAATTCTTTCCAACCTAATTTTCTCTCAATTATGTTTTATATATCAAATAAAATAAAAGTAATATCGAACCTTTACTATAAATTATCATCCCGTCATAATATGCCATTTCTTGGTCATCTCTAATACTGCTTCTATTATACTTACATAAAAAAGTATTTTTATTTATATCTCAAAGGGGAAAACGACATTGCCATCACTTTTCCACTACTTGCTGTGTTTTTTACTCTCTTTCATCCTAGCTAAAAATATTTATACCAAAATTTTCAAGAAAATCATAAAAATAGCTATTTTTGACATGAAGCGCCTCCTACCGACTCGTAAAAGAATTATTATCATGATATTGACATGCCAGTCGAAGCTCCTATAAATAGTCTTGAACTTAACTAAGTTCGTCGAAATCGGATAAGCCAAAAAAAGTTATTCAACTTAATTTCACGAGATTGAAAAAAATAGTTCCAACAGAAAAGTTTCCTTATCTAGAAGAGCAGATTACATTAATACTAATTTTTATATAGGTGAATTTGGAACATTTTTGGGGAAACCCGTTTTTTCTATTTTACAGTAGAGGCTACGCCCCCTACCGACCATTTTATAGACTTGAAGTTCCTGAGATATGGCCGACATCCTTTATTAAAGGGTCACCCGGTACATTATGGAAAAAAAACTTCATAGGGATGTTGGCCCCTGCTTAAAACATAAAATAACCCAAAAATTTTACATTTACGGGTTTTCTATGGGTGTACATTTTATCCATGTGCCAAATCACAATCGCTGCAACTTTTGGGCATTTGTAATTTTTAACATTTAATATCTGAAATAACAAAGTAAGCCAATTTTCAATTTTTTTGAACAACTGGCACGCCCTAAAATTTTAAGCCCTGGATCTGATGCCGGAATCTTAAATCTCATTTTACCTTTGAAAACCTTTGTTTAGATGGTCGCGGAATATTGCTCCCGCTATCCTGAGATTATTCACTATTTTCCCTGTTTTCTTCGCCAGATGTAATAATAACAATATTATTTAGGACGCTATGTATGTATTTCAAACTGTGGCAGATCCTTGCGCTTTCTATCTGAGCTAAGAAAATTTTTAATCCAGGCCATCGCTGACAGTAATCAGATTTGGTGGTCGTATATTATATTGGCATGATTAACTATACCAAATGTTAAGGTTTTTGAACCTGAACCAAAGTTGAAATTGATTCATGTAAATATAATAATATCAATAATACAACTAATTATTCAGGGAAAAATCCGAGAAAAAAGAAGTGTCGGAAGGCGAAAAATATCCTGGCTGAGAAATCTGAGGGATTGGTTCGGATGTAGCAGCACCGAGCGGTTTAGAGCGGCTGTCAACAGGGTCCGCATTGCCATGATGGTTTCCAACCTTCGACAGAAGGTGGAATTTTAAGAAGAAGAAGAATAATATCAGTTATCATTTTTATTAGAAACGATCCCAGCCTAGATTTGGATATCTAGTTACGGCCATGTAAATTAAAGCACCCTGTCCGGGCAACGGTTTGGCGGCTATGTAAGTTCTCTTGTCTTCAGACCATTTGCACATGAAATGGTCGTCGTCCACCTTTTCTTGGTGTTCTGCACCAATCCCCATGTCAGTTGCAGCGTCTAGAATGGCCTAAAAAACTTCATGGTGATAAAACCGCCACCCCCCAAGGAGAGTAATTATTTCGTAATTTGAATATGTATTACTATGGATAGGTTTCTATTCTCTATCAAGTTTCTCCGAGAGAAAGCAGAAAACAGTAGAATATGACCATATTTTTAAAATGGGTTCGCAAATTTTGATAGGACCTATAATCACCTTGCTCAATATTTCCAAAAGATATTTAAAAAAGGCGTTGCGATTCTTTTTAACCACGGGATCGTCGGACTTGAGCCGGCACAATTTCCCGATCCATTTTTTGCAAATCTGTTTGTCAGTCCGACTGCTGAGTTTGGAAACGAGGTTCTTCGCGATTTGAAGATTGTTCGCGAATTCTTCGTCGTAGATGTCGTACACGGGACGTTGGTTTGCCATTATTTCACGGTAATTTTAGCGTTTCGTCCATACGAGTGACGTTTACTGAATGACAAGTGTCAGAAACGCAGAGATAATTCAAAAGTCAATTAAAATATGTTCAACGTCTATAACACACTCAATTTCAGCCTAAAATACATTAGAAGTTAATATCGTAAAAAATATTTTTGCATATACAGGTATAGTCGGTACTATTTGTGATGGCATAGTCAGAAATAAAATGCCAAACAGAATTAAATATATTGTTGATCTTGCTTCCACTTATACTTTAATAAATATTGTTCCGCCCTAAATGTTTATCTGATTTATGCAAAACAGCCGTTACTAACGGTTATATTACTTGGGAGTAATTGGCATTTATTAATTTAATTAGTACTTAGTCTTTCCTATGTAACAATAGATCAAGGTGTTCTTTAATGATATGGAAATATTCAAGTAGGTGAAAAAATATGATAATTGTCCGAAAACGGTGTTCATGCAATAAAAGTTAAAACAATACCAAAAAATTGTAAAATAAAAAATATAAAGATCCTACCTTATAAAATATAATTTGCCATGAGTCAATACACAAGTAAATCGTATTTAGTTTGTATTGGAAATGCTACTACCAGAAAATGATCCTTCGTCTACATTAATTGTTTTTCCCAGTATTGTTATATTAGATTTTCTGTGTGTTAGCTTTGGTTGGTGACCTGCCTTCCAAAACTACTGCATTATCATTGTGCGTTGCCTCACTTATTCTATGACATTAAATATACAAGAAGGCAATCTTAAGACTTGATGACCCATTTCAGCGATTATTTCGTTTTTGACAATTTTTAACAACTGGACCATTTGGGCCATTTTCTGGGTAATTAATCCGCTTACTGCGCAGCCAATTGATAATTTCTTCTTTTCTTGTCGATGCATTTTATAGACTTTCACTAAGTCTAGAATGATAGTGTGCATTATCCGTAAGAATTAAAGACGGTCTTTCGAGTTTCGGCAGCAGTTTTTCAAAAATTCGACCCTACTTTATAGTGGAAACTACAGTAATTATCCGGTAATTGGTGCTGTCTCTATGGAGAGTACGACGCCGGGACATAATAAACAAAGACATGGGTTTTGCATTAGTATACGAGTGGCAGCAGTTAAAATACTGGTTAAAATACTGAGGCTCCTTCTCTTTTGGTTTTATGACCGACTATGCCATCACAAATCGACCGGGCAAAGTAACGAATCCGTCCCTGCCTTCATTCGATGAGTCGTTGGGTTCTGTCCGCAATGAATAATAATTTCCTTTGTTCCAATACTCCACGAGAATTTTTACAACTCTTCGATTTGTCAAAAAATGTTTGGGCAACTCAAAATTTCCGGTTCTGGCGTGGTTCCATGCCGTCTTGCAACGAACTTGATGAATTCGATAGATCGGTGGTTGTACTATGATGAGGCCATGATGAGGGTGATTCAAATCTGGATGGTTTTCACTATAAAAGGTTTTCATATAAATCAGAGCTTATTGTTCAATATGACAATATGGAAAAATACACAGAAACACATTAGGACCCAACCATGGACAGCAAACACAAACGAGGATCCAAAAGAACCGCCAAGGATTTTTTCTATCTCGAAGCCCAACTCTTGAACTGAATTAAGTTTATATACTGTGAAATACGTTTTCTTATCGATTTACGTCATTCTTATAGTTCTTCGTAGTATAGTCTACTTCAATCTTCATCATGCTGGCTTTTGCCCGAAAGTATGGAAGTTACCTGCCGACGGCACCAAAACTCGGGTCCTTAAAAGTTTTGGTAATAATATAATTTTTTTTATTCATTTAGGTGAGTAATCTTATTAAATTGCACTAAGAACAAACAATAACATGAAATATATGCAATAAAATTTAAAAAAACGGAAAATAAAAAATATAATAATAATATAACTAAATCTAATTCTATTTCACTATTAGAGTCGTCATTGAGATTAATTATAAAAAACAAAATTTCGTTTGAGATACCAGGAGTTTACAGCTTTCCGTGGATATGAAGCAAAGAATACACAAATATCAATTAAGCTCAAAGAATATGAAAGAGCTTGAAGATTACGACAAATAAACGCATCAGCAGTTGTCAAATACAATCACGAAACCGATCATAAAATTTTATTCGATAAAACTAAAATTCTTTCACGTAAAAAGTTTTTCTACCAATGAACAATCCGAGAATCTATACAGGTGTATAAGCACCCAAACAATTTTAACCGCGACTCAGAAGGTTTGTGAATAGTATTACACTAGCCTGTGCACTTAAATTAATATTTATAATAAATTATGTAATAAATATACCACAATAATAATATGCGTGTTTAACCAATATTTTTTGTTGGTTTAAGAGAGAAAAGATTTACAGTTTCCTTTAAAAGTTTTGTTTTAATGAACTTCTGATTTTGCTATTATTTGTTACAACATAATCTAGCACCAGGTGTGTGTGTTATGCCCAAAATTGCCACGAATTAACTTAATTAGTTTGGTAATTGACATGTTATAGCGGCGTCAATAGTATATTATGCAACAAGTGCGGTAAACGGCATTTGACTCAGGAGTTTATTTGACACGAGCGGAGCGAGTGTTTAATAAACGAGTGAGTTAAAAAGTTTATCGAACGTGTTGAATACTAACACATTCACTGACATGACTGTCAGAATTGACAGATGTCAAAATTCAAAGCGTGGGAAATATCTCCGAAAACATCCGATTGCTTCCAAATTCGTGCGTTAAAATCCCGGAAATGTTCGAAGGGGCTCGGATTCGTGCGAAAGGAAACTGACGTGGTAAAGTGACGCTTCCCGCACGCTAGATCGGTGGGTAAATAGGTATTTTACAGACGGGTGTAGAAAAAATTATTTCTGTTTATTTGGTTTCATTTTGCTTATTAGGGCGATCTTTCATAGCCACCGGCTAGCGTTAGCTTTAACACCGGAAACAACCATCAAGCTGTCCAGCTTGATATGGTTTCGGCACGTAGAATTCTGCGAACTATCGTCATAAAAGCCCCGTATCAAAATGTTAATGGACTAGCTATGGCCGTTTGCGGCATATACCGCCTGTTATTAAAAATAGTGAAAGCAATAACGGATCGAATTACTTCGGCTTTTTCTGCTTTTATCTATCTAATCTAAAATAATTAATAATATTTTTCTATCATTTTTACCACATTACAATTGCTTCAATACCAAAAACTAAAGAACTAAACCGCATGTCCATTTTTGTATGTTTGAAGTCTGTTTCAAAATGATGCGGAGTAAAAGGATATGGGTTTCGCTTCAGTACGACCAATTTTAAGGGTAGTGAACTTGAGAGTGAAAAATTAAAATCGTTTACGAGGAAAATACTTGAAAAGTATAAAGCAGTGCGCTGCATGGAGCAGAAAAAGTATATTGATGAGACGTGAACTAATGAGGGTTTTGTAATACCAAAAATGTGGAAAAATAAAAATGTTTGTAGTGCCCCTCAAGCTTTTATAGAAAGCTGGTCGAAATACCATTTTCAAGAAGAATAAAATTAGTACACATTGGAGGCGAAAGTGAATTCCTACGTAATCTCGAACTGAAGATAATCACCAATACGTTTTGCGAAGATCAATTTGATCAAATGTCGTAATCCTTCATCTACTGGCTTACTAGCAAAAATATTGGATTTGAAAACAAAAGATAAAGAAAGAACTGTTAGTTTTGGTTAGTTTTTGTAACAACGACATCGATGTAATAACGGAAAACAAAACATTGTATATTATCGGAAATTGTACATGGCGTCTGACCATATTTTCCCAAGCACTCTTTATTTTGTGGTGCAAACTTTTGTAGTTTAGAAGCCAACCGTAATACCAAGTGTTGCAATCTTTGCTTGCTTTGATAGGAAATCATCGTTCTACTGAAATACTCAAATACTGTAGTTTGTCTATATGTTTTAAAATCAGCATAAAAAAGCTGAAAAATCGGCATTTCAGCTTGCGTTTCGCCTAGGTTCCTCGACAACTAAGACTGTGCTTAAAGTTTTAGTGGGCCATTGGATGCAGCTTTGAGGAGGGTAAACCCAGTATTTATCACTGTGCGATCTCTCCAAGGTTTCGGTGGCCTTCCTCATTACTTGATGTTAAACAACTTTTTTCGGTATAGTAAACGAGGTATATATCAGTTTCAGGACTAACTCGATAATACCTTTGTTGTACTACACAATGTTGAGTTTTCTGGGCTAACGTCGGTGAACACTGGAGTCCCTCAAGGCTCCATTTTTTCTTTCTAAATCACCTCGGATCGCGGTTGACGCAGCCTTTGTCTGGTTTAGACAATGATGCGTTAGAACAAATCTAAAAAAAACAAGTGCAATAAAATAAAAAACATTAATTTAAAGATTTTAAAAGATATATTAAAAATGTTTTCTCTCTTATTGTGTGTTGAAGCCTACAAAAATATTTAAGGTCTGATATGTAGCAAAGGTAGTGATCTAAATATTTTAAAATACCTGTTTATCATATGTTTCTGAAAAATTTCTATTATTTGAGTGCTCTTTGTTGTGTATTTTTCATTTGATATTTCTTTGCTATTCATATTCTTTTTCTTTGCTATAATGTTCTTCTAAAATTGTACAAACATAGTCGATAAAAATCTATTCTATGCTATTCTAAGGGGTGTTTTTTTTTATGTGTAGAACTTTAAGTTACAATAAAACAACGATGGATTATTCGATCGACATGAATTTTATTTATCCGAAAGATAATCTTGTGGCATTACATTTTAAATATGATTTCTGGCATATGACCGCCACTGCTGGTGCGGATGTAGTCCAATCTTGATGTCCAATTTTCGATGTCGTTTTCCAACATTTGTGCCCATATATCGGCAATAACACGGCGAATGTTGTCTTCCAAATGGTCAAGCGTTTGTGGCTTATCCGCTTATCCGGTGTTAAATCACAAGATCTTGGAGGCCAATTCACAGGTCCAAAACGTGAAATTAGGCGGTCACCAAACGTGTCTTTCAATAAATCGATTGTGGCACGAGCTGTGTGACCTGTTGCGCCGTCTTGTTGAAACCACATCTCCTGGACATCATGGTTATTCAGTTCAGGAACGAAAGAGTTAGTAATCATAGCTCTATACCGATCACCATTGACTGTAACGTTCTGGCTATCATCGTTTTTGAAGAAGTACGGACCAATGATTCCACCAGCCCATAAAGCGCACCAAATAGTCAGTTTTTATGGATGTAACCGTGTTTCGACATACACTTGAGTATTAGCTTCACTCCAAATACTTCAGTTTTGTTTGTCGACGTAGCCATTCAACCAGAAGTGCGCTTCGTCGCTAAACAAAATTCGCTTATGAAAATCGGGAACAACGGCAATCTCGTTTTGGGCCCATGATCGTTTGGCTTCAATTCTTGCACGAGTTGGATTTTGTAAGCACGTAAACCAAGATCCTTCCGCAAAATCTTCCATAAAGTGGATGGACACAGATGCAATTCCTGTGCTCGATGGCGGATGGACTCATTCGGGCCTTCCTCAATGCTCCGCTCTACAGCAGCTATAGCTTCTTCTGTACGCACCGTACGGCATGTCTGGGGATGCGAGTTATCAATAAGAGTAAACGTGGTGTGAAAACGTTCCATGGTTAATCGAATTAACTGCTCTGATGGACGATTTTGTACGTATTCCGCACAGAACCATTATTTTCGAAATAAAATTGCACTATTTGCAAGCGTTGTTCAGGCGTGATTCTATTCATGATGAATTGCCAAACCAAAATGAGAATAAATCACTTGACAGCTGTTAAATGGGTCGCCATCTTGAACAGTAATGTCAACTTAAAGTTCTATACATCGAAAAAAAACATCCACTACAAGTAGGCAAACTAACCAACATTTGATGAACTTTACAAATGCAATCGTGCATAAGGAATTAGTCAAGATAAATTGATCAGGTATACCTACTAAGAGCACTAAACAAATGGATTATTTAGAGATTTTTAAGCTTTGTTAATTCCGTGATTACCACTTTACACGTTACTTATCAAAAAGCAACCCTTAATAAGTTTGTTCGGAAATAAACAATAAATGACAGATACCAATATAGAATCGGTCTTAAGGACATAATTCATTAACCTGTTAGACTGTGGAACGATAAATTAAACCCGTATTCCTGAAATTCATAAGAAATATGTTACATTTTCTCTTTTTGTTTCAGTGATGAGGGCCTCGAGCAACGGGATGCAACCTCAAACGCAGTGTGAACGGAAGCCATATCTGACCCCACCTCACGGTGCCCCTTTGCAGTCGACGATTCCCTCACCGCCATCTTCGAACACACCACACAACTTTTACGAAACTTCTGTTAAATATACCATGTGAGAAACAAGTAGGGTAAAATTGTTGCACCTGGGAAACGAATGAAAGGGTATTGAATGAAATGTTCGATATTGTTTTAAATAAACCAAAATCTACCAAAGTACCCCGGAATGGTTTAAATAAACGAAATTCGGATATTTCTAAAAAATCGCTGTTTTCGGTTTTTGTTTTGCCAAAGTGTTGAGGCGCGAAGTTTTAAGTTATTTTTTAGGTTTTATAAGTCGAAGTTAGGGAGATTCTTTAAATTGTAAATATGCTACCCATACAGCTATCAGACCAAAAAACTCTGTAAATATTTTACTGTGACATGTACACATAAAAATAGATCAGTCGTAGGCATAGGTAGTTGTACCTTTAATAATTATCAGGTATTTATGTGCCAAATAAAACTCTAAGTGATGAACACGTGTATTTCTTTTTGGTTAGTTACGCTTATAAAAATAAGAGTAGTTTTACATTATTTTTTGCTTAAAGCTTAGAGTTTTTATAAACCAAAATTGTAAAAAAAAAATAAATACACATTCACTAAATGCATACTAAACGTACTCATTAAATTTGTTGTTAAGTAAGTTTATGAAAATACACTCCATGGCTATTTAAATTTACTTTGTACCTGGTGGTCCATTAACAAAGGACGCCGGCCATATCTCAGGAGCCGTTAGACCTTCAACTTAGAAAAAAAAAACTGGAAATTATTTTCAGATTCATAAAATAGCCGCTGGGGGGCGTAACCTCTACTGTAAAATAGAAAAAAAAGGCTTTTCTCAAAAATATTCCAAATTAACCTATATGAAAATTAGTTTTAACGTAATCTGCTTTAAATAAGGACACTTTTTTGTACGAACTATTTTTTTCTATCTCGTCAAATTAATTTAATAACTTTTTTTTGACTAATCCGATTTCAACGAACTTAGTTTAGCTTTAAGTATTTAATTTAGTATTAATTCTTTTTCGAGTCGGTAGGAGGCGCTTCATGTCATAAACTGCTATTTTTATGATTTTCTCAAAAATTTAAAACATGATGGTATAAATATTTTTAGCTAGGATGAAAGAGCGCAAAAAAACGCAGATATAAATAAAAATTTATTTAAAATTACTGATAGAAGCAGTATTAGCCGTTACCATGCAACCGCTAAGCCCTTTTCTCCAATATTGACACTAGCATGTAATAGTATTATGGACAAACTGGGATCAAATCAAATTTAACTCTAGTGGAAAATATAAGCATCCCGCGTCACGTCTGTCGTCTCAGGTATAGTACTATGCTACAGTTGAAAAATCTCAAAGGGAAAAAAGGATATTGCCATGCCGCAACTTTTTGTGTTGTTGGTTTATATTAGCTAAAAATATTTATACCATTATATTTGAAATTTGGAGGAAATCATAAAAATAGCTGCTTTTGACATGAAGCGCCTTCTACCGAACCGTAAAAGAATTATAAGGTTGTTCGGAAAGTCATTTCGTTTTTTCCCGTCAGAGGACTTAATTACGTTTTTTCGAAACCAACTTCACACTTAAGCCGCATAACCATTATATGTCTTGAGAGCTGATATTGCAAGGCTTGTGTGTGAAAAAGTTCTATTAATTCTACGCAGTAGTTTTTGGTTGGTGCCCTTTTAAATATGGAGAACAATAAGCAGCATTTTCGTCATATTTTACTTTTTTACTTCAGAAAAGGTAAAAATGCTATCCAAGCGAGAAAAAAATTGGCGGATGTGTATGGAGAAGACGTGTTAACAGTACGCCAGTGCCAGAACTGGTTTGCAAAATTTCGATCCGGCAATTTTGATGTCGAAGATGCACCACGGTCTGGAAGGCCGGTCGAAGCTGACAAAGATGCGATAAAGGCATTAGTTGATGCAAATCGGCGAATAACCACACTAGAGATCGGTGAGAGATTAAATTTGTCGAATTCGACTGTTTATGGCCATTTGAAAGGCATGGCTTAACCTCGAAGCTCGATGTGTGGTGCCCCATGTCCTTACGGAGCGAAATTTGTGTCGTCGCGTTGACGTGTGTGATTTGCTCCTCAAACGTCAAGAAAATGATCCATTTTTGAAGCGGATTATTCTGGGGACGAAAAATGGGTTGTATACAACAATGTTAAACGCAAGAGGTCATGGAGCAGTAAAGATGAACCGGCTCAAAGCATGTCAAAAGCCAACATTCACCAAAAAAAGGTGATGCTCTCCGTTTGGTGGGATGTCAAAGGAATCGTTTTTTTTGAGCTTTTGCGGGACAATACAACGATTAATTCAGAAGTCTATTGTCATCAACTGGACAAATTGAATGATTCACTTAAAGAGAAGAGGCCCGAATTAATCAACAGGAAGGGTGTAGTGTTCCACCAGGATAATGCGAGACCTCACACAAGTTTGGTCACTCGCCAAAAACTTTTACAGCTTGAATGGGACGTACTGCAACATCCACCATATTCTCCAGATCTGGCGCCTTCCGACTACTATTTGTTCCGGTCCCTGCAAAATTTTTTGGATGGCAAAACCTTTACCTCAAATGAAGATGTCAAAAACCACCTGAACCAGTTTTTTGCCAGCAAGGACCAAAACTTTTATGAGAGGGGAATTATGTTACTGCCAGAAAGATGGCAAAAGGTGTTGGACCAGAATGGCCAATATATAATTTAATAAAATATTTATTCATTATACGAAAACTGTCTTTCATGTTCCCCAAAAAAAAACGAAATGACTTTCCGAACAACCCAATAATATCGTGAGATCGACTTGCCGAAGTCGAAGGTCGTATAAATACTCTTCAACACTAAAATAAGTTCTAAGGTGTTCAACTTTTTCTACACCAATATTTGACCCTCCCCTCATCCTAAATTTGACGCGATAGAAAAAAATAGTTCAAATAAAAACGTTACCTTTTCTAGAGTAGATTACGTTAAAATTGATTTTGATATCGATTAATTTGCAATATTTTTGAGAAAACCCTTTTTTTCTATTTTTCAGTAGAGTTACCTATTTTTTTTTCAAAGTTCTAAAATACTATTTGAAAAATCATTCTTTACAATTTACAATTAAATGAGATTTTAGAATGAACCTAGTAAATTTACCATATTATATTATATCGGGTCACGTCACTTGATATGCATATTCAATGTGCAAAGTTATTATATTTAAAATGCAGGTAAGTAATTATCAATATGTATCCGTACACTGTTATTAACGTAACAACCTTTAATAGTTTTTAAATAGTTTTGATTTTCTCAATTGCAACGGCGTTGTTGATAGAGTGACACAAGCCAATAGAGACGGCCAATGTTTTACAGACTTTTTTAATAGCACTTATGTTTTAAAGCAAAAAAGGTTGCAAAGAAATTTTCCAATAATTATCAATTCATAACAGTCAATAAGTTTCTGGATGTGATTTGATTGGACCTTCCTACGGCGTTTTCATGTATTAAATAGAGAGCGAATGGCGTAACTTAAAAAAAAAAAACATTTCAATTGTTTTCTATACACTACACATGTGAACATTATTATTACTGTAATAATACTAAGAAAATAAAACACATATGCCATAGTAGAACACAACTTATCAAAAAATACTCTACAGAACATTGTAAATACACTAAGCTTGGTTTAGTGGTGTAATTACGTTATATAGAACTATGTTTACACTTAATTACATACTTAAAGTATTGGTTCATTAATAGCGGTAAATCTAAATTTTAAAATGTTCCATGAAAGCAATTACCTACATGCTGAATGTATAATTTCAAGCAAGATGGTTATTAAAGATGATTCTTATGGTAAGACAAACATTAGACCAGACAAACAGTGCGTCAAATTATAAAAAACCACAGGGTCCTTCAAGAAAGCTTTGCCTCGTCAAATTTTCGAAAGCCATTCGCTTTAAAACAAGGAACGGCAACAAATCAGTCAGCAGACCTGTAAATTTTTATGTCCCAATCTGTTAATAATACGCGTATTGCCAAACTGGTGTCTCTTATGGTGGTCGACGCAGGCCCATAAGTTAAAGTTAAGTATTTTTTCAAGTGCGTTTTGCGACAGAAATTCTACTTAGCGGTTAAAATACGGTCGGGCGTCTGCATATTATGGTCTGGTTGATGGTCTAGAAAAGTGGTTTCGAAATTTTGTAAGAGATTTAACCCCATCAAAACAATTTGATATTAATAGGCTATGTGATAGTGTGAAAAGCAATATTTATTGATATCCTCAGATTGTGTTTTACAATTGATGTTGGTACGCTAGTTTGACGTCACATTCCAGTAAAAATCTTTTTAAATATTTTGTAATTTTACATGGGATTAAAAATGGTTCTAGTAAATGTACTTTCAATACCTACGCAGAATAGAAAACAAATAACTATGCCTGCATGAATATATATATATATATATATATATATATATATATATATATATATATATATATATATATATATATATATATATATATATATATATATATATATATATATATATATATATATATATATATATATATATATATATATATATATATATATATATATATATGAGAGAAAAAGAGCAACAGATAAAGATAACGTCAGAGTAGCAATGAATAAATGCGACTATATTACCAAATCGTATGATTTATTAAATGATAGTAGTACTTGTAAATTATTTAATAAAAACCCCACTCCGTCTCTTGAATCTAGCTGCAACAAATTAATTAACAAATTAAAAAATAAAAATTATATCAGTGAGATACCAGCAAAAAAATTGATAACATATAATGAGGTTTGTCCCAAATACTATGATCTCCCCACAAGGAAGATGTGCCCCTCAGGACAATAGGTTCTTGTATTGATGCTTCGACACAACCCTTAGCCAAATATATATCGAATATCTTAGATATGTCTTTTTCAACATTTAATAAGTATAGAATTAAGGATTCATTCGAATTTGCAAATAAGGCCAATAATTTTCATTTGCCTTCAGGTTTCGTCCTGGTATCTTTTGACGTTGTCTGCTTGTTTACTAACATCCCACTTGAATTGGTTATTTCAATAATGGAACAACATTTTCACTTAATAGAGAGCAATTATAATTTGCCCAAGACCGTATTCTTCGATATAATAAAGTACCTGTACAACAGTACATTTTTCTCTTTTAAAGGAAGGGACTCCCCATGGTTATCCAGTAAGGGATTGCCATGAATAGTTTACTTGAATATGTAACTAATAAAGTTAACTTCACATTTCCCTTCATTTTTCAATATGTAGATGACCTACTGACGGCAGTACCAAAAAATCAAATTCAAACTATACTGGATACCTTAAATTCATTTAATGACAGTCTAACAACTGTTCACGGTGGAGGAGGAGTCCGACTGTGGGGTCTCCTTCCTAGATACAAAGGCGATTAGAACGTTGTGCTGTTGGATTGGTACCAAAAAAAGTCTAGTTCAGGGAGGTTTATCCCATTTACGTCATATCATCCTACTAAACAAAAAATTAACACAGTGTTAGCTTTAAGGAATAGAATATTGACAAGTTGCCACCTACGTTAAAAGAAAAAACCTACTACGACTGAAAGATATCCTAATCTCTAATCAATACCCTAGATCTCTCATCAATAAATTCCTTTTTTGTGAAGACGATACCACTATACATAACAATCAACAACTTAACAATAATATCCCGGCTATGCAACAACAACAAAAGTATTTTAAATTACAATACATTGAAAACCTGACTCCTTCGTTGTGTAGACTACTTAATAAAATGTGAATAAGCTTAACCTTTTCTGTACTAAACTAAAAGATAAAGATCCATTTACAATAAAATCGAATGTTGTCTATGGCCTACCGTGCCAGTGTGGCCTTATGTATATAGGACAAACGTCCAAACGTCCCAAAAACTTTCAAAAAGGGTTGCAGATCACAGGAGTGACTGCTAAAACAAACCCAACTCAACGAGTTTGAGCAATCACGTGAATGAGACAGGACGGACACAAGGTTTCCTACGATGAAGTTTCTGTTCTGAACGTAGAGTCGAGTTTGTTCAAGTGTAAATTTCTTGAAATGTGTTATATTTATAACTGTGGCAACAACATAAATTTTAAAAAAATATGACAAAAACGAATAAATTACAATCATTTTATACAACAAAAGTATAGTGTTATTGTTGAATTTTCCAGTCACCTTTTATTACTCGTTATACTATATGTTAATATAGTAATTAATATAATGTTAAGTCAATATCCATGTGTAGTGAATTTAATTGTTCAGGTTGGTAGTGCAGCTGGCAACATTTAATTGCTAATTGTCACCCCCTCTACTCAAATGTCATTCCGACATTGTGACTGTCTATTGGTTTAAATTAATCTTGTACCGGTGTATTTTTAAATAATAACGACAATTTTAATGTTGACAAGAACATGCCGGCAACTTGCTTTTGGATGGATAATTTAGAGTTTAAATTAACGGCACATTCTGTAAGTACTAATAGTTTTTTAACTTGAATATTGAAAAAGTTTTGTAGTTGTCGCGCTTAATTTGGGCAATGTTATAATGTTTTAGTCTTCCTGGCTACAACCCTAGGCGAAAGCCTAAAGCATAAGAATAAAGGCTAACACTAAAGATCTTTTATTGCTTAACTTTAACCTTTTAAGAAAAAGGGGTTAATTATGTTATTATATTTTCATGTAAACATTTTTTATCTATTATCTAGTAATAGTAATAGAAGACTTATGTAAATTGAAAATTGTAATCTTTGTACATTATGTTGAGTACCGAAATAAACAAATAAATGAATAAATTCCAGTTTGTGGAACCATATATAGGTTCCCATGAAATAAAGCAGATAATCTAACTTCAAATTCTAATTGAAATTTGGTTTTTGTTGTCAAAAATGTATCCAGAAATCAACGGTAGTGCAAAAGGTATAGTATGCAACACCTTCGGTAAACTTTTTAACTCACTCGTTTATTAGACACTCGCTCCGCTGTGCTCCGCTCGTGTCAAACTCGTGAGTCCAATGCCGTTTAGCGCACTTGTTGCATAATATACCATTCTGTCTCAATTTACGAACTGGATAAAGATGTCATGCTATGACGTAACTGCACAGTTGCTCTTACTGGACAATTGAATATGCTTTCAAGAACTTTTAGTTTAATAAGTCTTTATCCAAACTCATAATCAACTATCGATCAATCTCATCGGGATGATACTCAACATGAATCACCATCTAAAGAACGCTAATAAACTCATTATAAAACAATGACGAGGAAGCCTCTGCGCATTTTTTTTTGACCGCATAGACGAGAATTTCCGTAAACTTTCTCGCCAAATATTATGCCGGTTTCAAAGGAGTGAGAGAAAAAAAAACAAATTATAATGACACGGTGTAAAAACCGCTGGATGTGACCGCAAAGTTCTCGCGTATTATTCACAACACTCGGAAACTATCGAAAATGTCACGTAGCCCTTTTATTACACCAAGGAAACTTTTTGTCGTCATTGGTGATAATTTTAAGAGCTTTCACTGCTAAAAAATTTTTCTTTGCATGCACAATCTTCAATTACCAATATATCAACCGTTATAGAGCATATATTCAAAATAATAAAAAGAATAGTACAATCTTTAAACTGCAGATAGAATGCGAAGACTTTTTAGTCAAGACATCACGAATTTCATATAATGGGGATTAGAGATTCACTTAATATTATTAATATATTTTTTAATACTTTGCAGATCTTACGCTTTAGCTAAATTTGTAATAAGGTTATCTACTTACTGATGCAGTAACAAATAATTTTTTGTGATATTATTTTTAAATGTTAAATGCTACGAAATTCTCGAACATGCTTTCTTAAAATGCAAACTAGAAGACGTCTCCATCCTGCCTTATCTGGTCTCGAAGATTCTTATTATTAAATCCCCCCCCCCCCTTTATATATATATAAAGGCATTCTCACACCTCCGCTGTGATTGACTTAAGCTTTATAGGAAGGCATTTTTTTAAATGATCACAAAAATTATTAATGAACTGCCAATGAAGTTTAATGTATTCAAAGTGCGGAACATTAAGCCACATGCTAGACGTGCTGTGTAAGAAACAGATGAGTTCTAATTCCTATTACCTTAATAAACTACACGGACCGTGTGTAGCAGTCTCGTTTTATTGTTTTCTTTGCTTTTTAGATTAGGACTAAGAACAAATCAATTATTCCCTCACTGATCTATTATTCTTAATCCTAAATATCCGTTTAAATTGCTTTTAACCAGTCTGGGTAGATAACATTTTGTTATTTTTGAATACCATTACTCTAGTAAATTTTGTACTTAGGATCAATTTTTCTGTCTCTTGGTAAGTATTTTTAACAATAAGGATCAAAAGGTGAATTTTTACAATTCAATACTACAAAATTGAAGCAATTGTGAGCAGTTATGAATAAAAATATTTGTACATTTTATGCATAGGCTTTAAGCAACCAATTATCATATCAATGATGCAACCATACAACGAAAGTTGCATAAAAATTTAACAATAATTCGTTTATTATATCGTTATTATTGGCATGGTGCCAAAAATAGAATCAACAAACGTGATCCCAAGAATTTTATCCGTTACGGAATTTTCGTACTACAACCAGCGTGTTCCTAGACAGATGTTTTTAACCAAAATGACTAAGTTTTGCGGTTTTTGAGTATAACGTACGATAAGAATGTGGAGAAGTCCTGCAGTCTGCTATTAATTGGAATTAATTCTATAAATAGCATTGTGATCAAGCCGCAATCTGGGACAATTCGTGTAAAATGCGGATTTGATTTTCCCTAAAGTAATTGTGCCAATTTGCAATTTTGTCTTGCAGAGCGGGCCTTCGATTGGAGATTAAGGCACGTTAAGAAACATTTTTATTGCAATAAAATAACAATATTGATAAAAAAAATGAAACCACAAAAAAACAGTATTTGTTTTGTTATATCTGTGAATTTTAGTATTTTTTTTTCTCCTGAAATTGATAATACAAAATTTCTCATATTGTTCCAACTTACAAAGGTATATTATATACTTAAAATCCCTAACCCCACCTAAGAGCAAGTGAGGTTGTGATGAGGAATGTAGCAGCAAAATGAATAGAAAACCTTTAACTTAAACCTAAACGTGTTAATGTAAATAAAACAGTCTGTATACAATTATCTCAAATAATGAAAACAGTTTTTTGCTTTTAAAAATATATGTACTTGACTTTCTGGAATTTGTTATGTTGTTGATACTTTTATTAGTTGCATTGGAGTGAGACTCAACTGCGACACAGTTACTCTTGATTCAAACCTTTGCAGACAGCACTTTGTCATTGGGAATAATGAATAATAAAGAATTTTGAGAAATGACTACGGTTTATAATTTACAAAATTACTCTGAAGATATTTCTGAACCGAATAGAAGCAAGCAAGCAGATATTCTTTCATTGCGTTTTGAAATTTTTTGGTAGAGAGGATTTTAATAGAGTTCGGCAGTCTATTGCACAGTGTATAGAAACAGACTCCGACATCCTGTGCAGCGGGATGATGATTAAATAAATCATTCCTAAAATTATAAGCGTGATTTTTACTTGTGGATGGTGAGTGTATCTTTTTACAATGCATTTCAATTAAGGCAAAATAAACGAAGATGCAATGTAAAGGCATAATCCTGTGGCTCAAAAAACCCACACACCTGCTCTCTCTGCCCCCACAATGAAACGGCATAAGAATTTTTGAAATGAAACAGTCGAAAATAACACGTCTTAAGGGTGTCGAAATTTATTAAAAATATCAGACTGGATAAAGCTTTATAAAGCTTATCTGTATGGTGTGACCACAATATAGGTAATTTTTGTTAGTTGACAAATAAATGGAGTATTATACTTATTATTACTGTATTATGAACAATATCCTAAAAGAGAACAACCTCTTAAAAAAGTTATATATGAATTCCTTATGAGCTAGACCAAATCGTGCTTTTTGGAACTGTTATTAGTATATTAATAGCATGTGAATAGTATATTATAAATAGTAGTTAATAGTATATTACTCCTGACTCAAATGCCGTTTTCCATACTTGTTGCGTACTATACTTTTTCTACGACCGTTAGTTTTTGGGTACAAATGTACAAATGTACTCAAAAACTAACGATCATAGTAAAAGTATAGTATGCAACACGTTTGGTAAATACGAGGTCTGTCAATTAGATTCCCGGAAAAGTGGCAACACTGCTACTCTCGTTATGCTACGGCGTTCGCGTTGTGTCATTCGAAATAGGATTCATTTCTGCGTCAGTCTGTGCAAGTTTCGTCTCGATCGGTTGTTCAGTTCGTGTGTTACAGTACTTTGATCATTGGCGTGTTTGGACCCCTTGTCGCGAAAATGTGTGCTAAAAAAACTGAACAAAGAGTAGTGATCAAATTTTTGGTCAAACGTGGTGTAAGTTCCGCGGAAATTATGAAACAGTTAACCGACGTGTAGAAGGATGATTGCCTGAAAAAACAGCTGTCTACGAGTGGGCTAAGCGGTTCAGGGAAGGCAGGGAGTCGGTGGAGGACGATTCACGTGAGGGAGCTCCCTCCACCTCTCGAACGGCACAAAACGTCGATCGCCTGCGCGTGCGTGTGCTCGGAGACCGTCGGGTAAGCCTCAGAATTTTGGAAGACGAGTTGGGTATCAACAAGGAAATCATTCGACAGATGCTACACGAGGATTTAGGGATGCGCAAGTTGTGCGCGAAAATGGTTCCCAAAGTGCTCACAGTTGAGCAGAAAGAGCTTCGTTTATCCATCTGTGAAGACATTATTTCTCGAATTGAGGAGGAAGGAGAAGACTGGATTATTGTTATTACCGGAGACGAGTCTTGGGTGTTCCAGTATGACCCTGAGACCAAACGACTGAGCATGCAGTGGGTGGAAAAGGGGGGGAAGCGCCCCACAAAAGCCAGAATGTCGAAATCAAAAGTGAAATCTTTGCTCATCGCATTGTTCGATATTAATGGAGTTGTCCACCACGAATACGTTCCAGCAGGTCAGACAGTCAATGGGAAGTTCTACATTGAAGTTTTGAAACGTCTGAAGGCCCGTGTGTTTCGTGCACGGCCGGAATTGGCCGAACGTGGATGGGTGCTGCATCACGACAACGCTCCAGCCCACTCCTCATTCGCAGTTCGCGATTTTTTGCCAAAAACGGCATTCCAACGCTTCCGCACCCCCCCTACAGCCCGGACCTGGCCCCCTGCGACTTTCATCTCTTTCCACAATTGAAGTCCTACCTCAAGGGCAACCGATACGACGGCGTCGAGGAGGTGCAACGTGTCACGACACGGGTGCTGAGGGACCTATCTTCAGGGGGCTTCAGGGGGTGCTTCCAATGGTGGATCCAACGGTGACGCCGGTGCATCGAGCTAGAGGGAGACTACTGCGAAGGATTATAACTTAATTTTAAGAATTTATGTATATTCCGGACCGTCCGGGCACTTTTCCGGGAATATAATTGACAGACCTCGTATTCAAGTCACTCGATTATGAAGCAATGAGTCCGCTGTGCACTGCTCGTGCCAAATAAACTCCACACTTCTTGTATAATATACTATTACAACGACAACATCAAAGTTAGACACACCAACAAGACTAGTGAGGTGAACTTAAAAACCATACATGCCACACAGTATCAGAAAAGTGCCATGATGCGAATGGTTCCCAGAAAAATGTAACCCAGTACACTTTACCCTTTGAAATTGATTTCAAAGGTTCAACTACAACAATCGAAATCAGAGTTTAACCGCTGGTGGTACTAAATGTACAAAACGTACTTGTTCAAAGTTCAAAACTTATTCTACGGAATCTCTGTTGCTACCGTTATTTTTCTTCCTTAATAAAAGTTTATCAGGTCACGTCCCAACTATTTGGAAATGTGCCAAAATGCTCCCTGTTCATAAGAGTGGTAGTAAGATTGATATCGTAAACTATCGACCCATAACAATTTCAGTCAAAATGCTCGAGACAATTATAACAGAGGAGTTATTTTTTAAGCTTAGCTGTATCTCTCACTGTATGTTCAGGATGTGTCTGAAGCGTTGGATAATAGAATGCAAATGGAGACTTTGTACGCCGATTTTTCCAAGGCATTCGATTAAAAATAAAAATTAAAAAAAAAAAAAACTGAGGTGTGCACGGTTCTCTTTACAAAACTCTTCAATCATACATTAGTTCTAAGACTCAGTTTGTTGAGTTAAATGGACCTAAATCTATTCATATGGCGTCTGGCATACCTCAGAGATCGTACTTGCGGACTATTCTGTTTTCTTTGTTCATAGCGGACGCGGGTAAATGTTTTCGTTTTGCAAAAATTATTTCATATGCTGATGATACTCCTGTCAGGAACATCGACAACTATCGCAAGTTTCAGGAGGACCTTGATAGATACGATTACTGGTTAGGAAAGCGATTGTTTGACAAATGTTACTATCTTCAGTTCAGTAAATTAAAAAATGACATAGTTTTTGATTATAAATTCAGTGGAATGAGAATTAATGTAGTAAAGCATATCAGGGATCTTGAACTAACTATGTAAAAAAGGTTTACAGAAACTCTTTTTTACATTTATTACAAGGGTTAGCAAAGATTTTAAAAGTCCCCAGTCGCTGGTCGTACTCTATAACGCCTATTGTAGTATCAGTTTTAATAATTTTTGAATAGCGCCATCTAGCGCACGTATAAACCTTTAATGCATTATTTTTGTTAAACTTACGGTGTAACCCCAGAGGGCAAGCAACTAGGGATTTTTGTGATATGACTTTAGGAGTTTGGTTGGGTTTTTGGGTTTTTTGGGATTCTCCATGTGGGTTTTTGAGAGGGAATCGGCAACCGAAAAAGGTGGAAAATGGATGATTAGCAGTTCTCGTTATATATACCATGAGCAATCGGCATTTATAGCGCCCAACTAAAATCACCCTGCTAACTATTTCTACAAGCCGCGAGAGTTCGTGGAATTCTGTGTCGTACCTCAATAAAATAATAGTGGATTGTTAACGAATGGATAATTTCCAAGCAGATATGAAAGATTTCGTCACTAAAACCAAACTAATTGAGGAGGATTTGCAGAATAAAACCACGAGTTCCGTTTCAACATCGCACCCATTTTTACCGTATAGGACTTATGAATACAATACAACTATGTCAACCATCACAGAAGAAGTTATTAAAGGCATGTCTTCTGCATTTTTATGCCTTGGATAAAATAAAGGACTCCACAAATAAACACAAATATTCTGCGTTACCATGTCTGTTTTACGGTTATGATTATGAAGATCCTGGTTTATTTTTGAAACAGTTGGAGCAGTATTTTTCGCGTTATGATATTCTAGAAAACTACGATAAGGTCAATTTTGCTATACTCGTCTTCGCAGCACTGAATTGGAAAGAACCTTCAACAAACAAAAAATTTAATTCTACAAGTGCTATAGCTCAGGGAACCTCCAAATTATACGGAGAGATGCAGAAGGACAATGAACGAACCTATTGATGTTTTCATTTCCAAGAAACTTGCGCTGTTCAGCGGCTGGTGCCAGCCATTTTAGAAAAAATAAAGACTTCGACAAACTCTTGAAAACAGAAGCTAGGGCTGTTCACGCAATCCCTTCCAATATACAATTACAGAGGAACTGGCAAAGATTGCTACCCAAATATTCGTACCTCTATTTTATCTCCAACAGTCTCCTTACATAATATGGACAATTAAAATAGATTTTACCATTGTCAACCTGGAGTTTAGCTCCACTTTTCAACTCACCTCCGAATTAAACGAAGAGATTATTCTCGGGGCTCAATTTCTTAAACAGCATAATGGTATTATACCACGACTCCTACTCAACATTGCATCCGACATAAAGAACAAAAATAATTCCGCAGCGTCCTTATGCAGTTCCACCCAGTCAAAAGACTATTCTATATAAGCTTCAAAATCATGTTATCGAACCTAGTGACTCAGCTTTTTCTTCGCTCATTGTTCTTGTTGACAAAGGTGATTGGAACTGTCGTTTCTGTGTAGATTATAGGACTCTAAATTCGGTCACACTTGATGAGCCGTCTACATTGAAAGCACACAAGCATTTTTACCATCTTTGACTTGAAAAGTGGATATTGGGAAGTACCGCTTTCTGCAGATTCAAAGAAATTCACAGCCGGTACTCCGGATGGTCATCTATACCACTTAAACCTGATTCCTTTTGGATTAGAAGGAACTCCGGAAACATTTCAGAGACTTATGGTTACCGAGGTCCTCGCTGGCTTTGGCGGTGATTTTGTGAACACATCCGACATATATGTTTGGTCCTGGAACGTTTGAGCATCAGCATCGAAATGTAAAATTACCATATTTACAAGGGAACCAATAGACCCCAAAACAAACACGTGGTTGCAGTTGTAAATTACTCTAAACCTAAGACGAAGAAACAATGACAATCATTTCTGGGAATATGTAATTGGCTAAGGGAGTACGTACCTAACATGAACTTTAGATATAACCACAATCCAATGGCAAGCCTTGCCTTCTATCATATGTCGAAATTATCTGTTATGCCCAATATGCAAATGTTAGGGTACTAATGACAAGAACGCCTGCTTTATTCTATGTGCCGAAATAGAGTACAAATTTAGGAAGCAACTCGCCAATATCTCTTTTGCAAAGAAATTATAACTTCTTGCAAATAGTTCTTTTTGCTTTGTCGCTCAAATGATTTAGGAATGAACCGATAAGAGTGTTTCGCTCGAACTAAATTAAAGTCATTTCTACATTCTTTGTTGTTTTCCTTTTTTTTGGGATGAGAAATAGTTTTGCTCTTTTTAATTAAGATAAATGCACTTAGTGTTAGTGTACCTTTGTTCGTCATGTTAGAGTGCCTTGTTATAATAATAAATAAATAAATAACAGAAAATTCGAGCAAAATATCAAGTACGCTATATTTGTGGAAAGGTAATTTCAATTTCTTTTCAAAGATCAATGGCAGAGGCATCCAAATTTAAAAGCGAAAAAAAAGGTGGTGCTTTAAAGGTCTTATTCTACTAGAGCGACCTGAAAAACAAACTGATGCTCAGGCTTCGATCCGTTACGAAACGGGATCGGTATAAAATGGTCAGTGTCTCGACATTTCAACGGCGTTTTTAAGTGATGTCTTCGACACCTCATATAACCCGGTCAATGAAAAGCCTTTTTGTGTTGCACGCTCACGGTACTTCTCGTCCCTTCGTCCCGCTCCGCTTTATTTATAGATTCCCATTACCCGTGTCAAATAAATCTCGAACCCGAAAAGTATTCGAAAACCCGACAAAATTCCGATTAAATCAATTTTTCATTATTCCGGCGGACTTCCTCGCAAACGTATTTCGGGAGGTTTTATAAATATGACCGCGTTAAGTGAAGGGAATACCGAAATAAACTCGGGTTTTTAGGCAACAGTGTAAACTCCTTAACTCTAAACGAGTCGAGTGGTGTAAATTATGTTCCTGGTGATAATTGGTGCATTAAAACGATGAAATTTTAAGAGCACGAAACAGTAACTTCGCAGAGTAAATAGACGTATCTATATTGTTGTTGAAGTGAGAAAATGCGCACAATATTTGAATCATAGAAAAAATACAAGTTTTTAGTTTAATTTTTAATGAATGACTATTTACCTATCTAATGAAGTCTGTTTCTAAATCATGCGGAGGAATAAAACCAAAAACAAAAAGTTAAAAAAGTAATATCTACTCTAAAATTCCGTGGTCGAGGGTGTTACCCTTGGTTACGAGACACTGATTAGCCACTGAATTTGGAGTGATTATATATTTTCCGCGTGACTCAATGATTCGTATGATTTTGCAAAAATGTACTCAAAAACTGATTTATTTATTTGCTCTTTGAACACAGTGTCCTGCTAATAATAATAAGAATAATGCCTGGCCTTGGTGCTGTCCATGCGACATCAAGCTACTGTAATGCGTAGACAGTACAGTCAGCATCGACCAGCTGCCCGCTGTCCATACCTAGCCATATCCTGTCTACCAAACCTTAAACCTATCCCCACCCATAATCCATATTCCTATACATCACCTAACCTAGCATTCTACACAAAAGGTCACACTCCATCAAAGACCTGAGGTAGTTCCCTGCCTCTCTTTAACCAAAAGAGGGAAAACCCAATGCCAATAGTGGGTTAGCAGCCCGGGCAGACTAAACTATTGCTCCTGAAACGAGAAGAAGAAACCAGGGCGGAGACGCAGTGACTGCTGTTACCTCTTCTCGGAACCGTCCCCCGTATCAGCCAGATAGGGGTGCCAAGGAAGCAATGTGGCGTTGCTCCCCGTATAGAGACCGCAAGGCAGGCATTCCATGGAAATCCCACATCAG